GTGTGTATGTTTTTGTTCGTATTCTGCTTTTTGATTAACACATTAAAAACGTGCAATTCTAAGAACGTAATCTTTAAATCTTGGAACAACATGGAGTTCCAAGACCATTCCCACTGAAGTTCATACTATGGCTTTAAGGCAATTGGAGCCAAATATGCGCATATAGCTCGAGTCTGCAATAAAGCATGGATGCAGGTTCAGTTTTTTTGGGCAAGACTGTGAAAAAAAAACGCATACTTTTCTTCTTAATGATAACGATCGTTTGTTATTTTACCACTATTACCAGAAACAGATTTCTTAACATCAGCATCGCTTTCATTTGGATCCGAAGCGTAAGAGTTTTGTTCCAGTGATGGACACCTGGGCAACCCTGCTCCTTTTGGCTATGTTCTTATGGATGCTCGTAGCTTTCTCCCTCCCAGAGTGAGCACTCTGCTGACCTCACCACTCGTTACGTTCTCCAAATGACAGGGATGAACATCCTTCTTTGAAAGACCCAGATTCTGCTTCTATATTAATGAGACCAGCTGGCAACCCATCGTTAATTCTCTTCCGCATTGCGCTACCGTAATTGTCAGGATTTGAAGAGGTTGATGAGGATACAGTCGTTAAGGCGTTTTCGCTTGTGCTGTTTTGCATTTCAGGAGAATTTCAGCCAGATTTGTGGGGTTGTTTCAATTTCAGGCGCAAAAATTTCAGTCAATATGTTACCGGCATATATGGGTGAGATGAAAAATGATGGAAGCACCAGTCATCTTTATTTCCCTTATCCACCAACTATGACTCCAAATGTGATGGCACCAAATTTCCCTTCCTATACCGTTCCGATACCACCACCAACCTATGAGGTTGCAGCTTCTGGTCTAAACCCCATAAAACAGGACCAAAATTTCCCGTCTGCTATTTCTGGACCATCACCATCATCCTCATCAACACCTTGCGTCTCATCAACAACACAGCATCAACGACGATCGGCCAACATCCCTATCGATGAAGAAGCACGCAAGAAGTAACGGATATACAAAAAATCATTTTGTACAATTTGTGCACACGGCTTTGGAACAACGACAAAGTGACGCAGACGAGAGTACCATACGGGGCGGTGCCCGGTATCAAAACAGCACTGTCTGCAAACTCCGAAGTTATG